TGGGATCGACATGGAAACCTCCTCGGTCCAAGCCGACTTTCTTATTACTACCCTACTTTTGTGGCGCTCAGGAGGAGGAAGTGCAGCGAGAAATCATCAAGCAGGAGGAGAGCGTCGACCCAGACTACTGGGAGAAACTGCTGCGGCACCACTATGAGCAGCAGCAGGAGGATCTGGCCCGCAACCTGGGCAAAGGCAAACGCATCCGCAAGCAGGTCAACTACAATGACGGCTCACAGGAAGACAGAGGTAGACCTTTTTTCTTTTAATTCTCTGAGCTTAAGTTACTTTTCAATAGACTTCTCATTGATTGAAAATATATTTTTGCTACTTTTATCTTAAAGCTGATTGGCAGGATGACCAGTCTGATGGACAGTCGGATTACTCTGTGGCGTCTGAGGAAGGAGATGAAGACTTTGATGAGCGATCAGAAGGTAGGAATCATAAATGTGTTTTATATCTTGGAGACCAGTAGCACAAATGGAAAAACTTGTAATACATGTTCTTCCAGGCACATTTCTTAACAAGCTAACTTACAGGAAATGAAAATATGATGCTTCATTCAGCTGATTGGTTGTGGAGCCTTCAGTGTCTGGTTTCTCTTCTGCAGCCAACTCTCGCAGGCCCAACAGGAAGGGCCTGAGGAATGACAAAGACAAACCACTACCCCCCCTGCTGGCCAGGGTTGGAGGCAACATCGAGGTGAGCTGCTCATCTTTAGTCTGTGTTCATACGTGTTATGTTTGAGTCCTACAAACATTTCAAAAAGCAACACAGGGACTGGTTTTAGAAATCTAATGAAAAGCAACTGAGTGAAGTCTGAGCCTCCTGCTGTTTTGCAGGTGTTGGGTTTCAATTCTCGGCAGAGGAAGGCCTTCCTGAACGCAGTGATGCGTTATGGGATGCCTCCGCAGGATGCCTTCACCACCCAGTGGCTGGTCCGAGATCTGCGGGGGAAATCTGAAAAAGAATTCAAGTAAGTTAAATTTTTTTCTGTTAAACACGAAGACCGAAGAATATTTTCTCAGATTTAGTTTTTTCTCCCTCTGCAGGGCTTACGTCTCTCTGTTCATGCGCCACCTGTGCGAACCCGGAGCAGACGGAGCTGAGACTTTCGCAGACGGTGTCCCTAGAGAAGGGTTGTCCCGGCAACATGTCCTCACACGCATAGGCGTCATGTCACTTATACGCAAAAAAGTATGTTTTTGTGTTGTTGTTTGAACTCCCTTTAATATAAAATTATGACAAACCGTAGATGTTTGTTTCATCAAGTAGAAAGCCCTGATATAGTTTTTGTTGTTGCTGAGACTTACTTAGTTTGTAAACCTTGAAAAGTACAAATTGATGGCAGATGAGGTTGCTGATCATCAGCATAAAAATGAAAATCTGAAACAGTCACATTTCTGTCAACGTTATTGTTGAAGTAAGTCAAAAACCACAGCATCACAGACTTTCTACAGTACCAAATTAATAGTGGACATGTTATTTTATACCAATCCCACCTTCAGTGTTTGCTCAGAGAAATCTAACTATTTGAGTTAAAGAGCATTTAGCATCTCTGTGTATTTTCATTTCTTTATGTTGATTTTTTTCCCCTATTAAATAACTGAAAAATGCATCCTGTAAATTCCAAACAAAGCTCTGACCGGATGGCGTCCCTTTACCTTCCAGGTCCAGGAGTTTGAGCACGTCAATGGTCAGTGGTCCATGCCCTGGATGGCCGACCTCGAAGAGAACAAGAGGGCTGCGGCTCAACCGGACTCTCCAGGGAAAACCCCGTCCACCGGGACCCCTGCTGACACACAGCCCAACACTCCTGCTCAAGGTACCAGCTTATCCTACGAGGTGAAAATGTTTCTGTTAAAGGTGTGGAGGAAAACAAATCGAATGTAACGCGAGTGTCTGCTTCTAGCCGATGACTCTGTGAAGAATGACGAAGCATCAAAGGATGGAGAGAAAGACGCAAAGAAAGAGGGCGAGGCAGATAAAAACGGCAAAGAGCCAGCTAAAGCCAACAACGAGGTAAAAAATTCAATCAGAAGGTGGGGTTTGAAAATTGTGCAAAGACTTGAATCAGATTTATCCATAATGCCGACAGGTTATCGCCATCCCGGACGACAATGAGAAGGTCCCTATCGAGACGCAGGAGAAGAAAAACGCCGAGGAGCCAATGGAGACGGACAAACCAAGCAACGGAGAAGCGGAGAGCACAAAGGAAAAGGAAGGAGAGGAGGGAGAGGGAGAGAAAAAGAGCACAGAGGGAGGAGAGGAAGACAAACCAGCTGTAGAGGAAAAAACGGAGCCGTCAGAAGTTAAACTTGAGGAATCTGAAGTCAAAGGTGAGATTTTCAAGGGTTTTTTGTGTTCTTTAATTTGCAAAGAATGTTTTTTGTTATTTGTGCAATATTTCTGAAAGCTGTTTGCTTGTGCTAGCTCTCCTGCAATCTTAAAGTTTGTTCTAATTAATGTTTTCAACCTACAGGAGAGGAAAAGAAGGAAGAGAAGACTGAAAAGATGGACACCACTCCTCCTGCAGAAGAAAAGAAAGGTAACTTTTGTAGATGTAACCTGTTAAATGCCAACTGTGATCTGAAGTCGGGTAGTGACTCTTCTGTTTTTGTTTTGTTTTTTGAAGATGTGAAGGAGGAGAAAGAAGCTCCAAAACCGGAGGAGGCGGCCAAGCTGCATAACGGAGATGGCAGCAAAGAGAGCGTGGCTGCAGCAGCAGCGGCGGCGGCTTCCACCGCCAGCAGCGTGAGCGAGGAGAAGAAGAAAGCCAAAACCAGATTCATGTTCAACATCGCAGATGGAGGATTCACAGGTACGAACACAGACAGGAAGTCGGGTCAGTTTCAGCAGCCTGTTCCAAATCACTAACGGCTCCTTTTCATTTAGAGCTGCACTCCTTATGGCAGAATGAGGAGCGCGCCGCCACGGTTACCAAGAAAACCAATGAGATCTGGCACCGTCGCCATGACTACTGGCTGCTGGCCGGTATCATACAGTATCCTTTTCCCACCGGCGTGATTCTGGACTCCGTTCATGTTAATGTAGCTTTACCAGATCCAGAGGTCGCCCTGGTTGGATGTTTGCTCCCCTGACCACTGATCCCTCCAGACACGGCTACGCCCGCTGGCAGGACATCCAGAACGACGTGAGGTTCGCCATCCTCAACGAGCCGTTCAAAGGGGAGATGAACAGGGGTAACTTCCTGGAAATCAAGAACAAGTTCCTGGCCCGAAGGTTCAAGGTACCAAATGTTTTACACGTGTAATACCTAAAAGAATGTGTAGGGTTATACACTTCTATCAGTCATTCATAGTTTCATCCATTCAAGTGTTGGGTTTCATAATGTTTGTACATTATCTGTCCAACCGTCGATATGTATGATTTTCATCATTCGGTCTTTTCTTTTTTTCTCTCTGTACATTCTGTCATACATTCATCATTTTTTCCATTCATTGATTTTTCTGTTATTGCATCCAGTTGTTCTTCTTTTCCTTTTGCTCTTTCTCACTCTTTGTCTTTTTGGTCTTTCCTTCTTTTGCGCTTTCATGTTTTCTTCTTTTCTTTGTAATCTTTTCTATTTTCTTTTACTCTTGCTCTTTCTTTCCTCTTATTTTGCACTCTCGCTCTTTCTTTCATTGTTTATTTCATTCACACTTTCTTTTGTGTTTCTTTTGCTCTTTCTTTTTTCCTTCCACCAAACCATATTTCCCCTTCTTTTGTCTGTTATCCATTGATTCATGCATTCACTTTTCTAGCTTTGATGTATTCATATTTAAACCAATCACATTATCGATCTGTATTTTCGTTATTAAATCAAACACAAAGAACAGGAACATTGTAAATATTTTAAAAGATGCAACTGTCTGTCTCGTCTCCAGCTGTTGGAGCAGGCGCTAGTGATCGAGGAGCAGCTGCGTCGTGCCGCCTACCTCAACATGTCAGAAGATCCCTCCCACCCCTCCATGGCCCTGAACACCCGCTTCAGTGAGGTGGAGTGTCTGGCCGAGTCCCACCAGCACCTAAGCAAGGAGTCCATGTCTGGGAACAAACCGGCCAACGCCGTCCTGCACAAAGGTACAACCGACGCTCCACAAAGTTAGGACTAAATGGCACCAGTTTTTTGTTTTTTTAATGGGTTTATAAATGATTTATATTAATGCTTTCTGCATTTCAGTGCTAAAGCAGCTGGAAGAACTGCTGAGTGACATGAAGGCGGATGTGACCCGCCTGCCAGCAACCATCGCCCGGATACCGCCGGTTGCTGTCCGACTCCAGATGTCTGAGAGGAACATCCTGAGCCGCCTAGCGAGCCGAGGACCAGAAACACAGACGCAGACGCAGCAGGTAACGGGATAGAAGTTTAATTCAGTTTTGTTTGCTGCACACGCTGAATCAGCTGAAATGAAGATTTGTCTGTTTTGTGATGCATTTTGCAGCAGATGCCGCAGCAGTAGACTGAAAATTGTCTCTAACCTCAAGAACCACCCCCTGCCTCACGTCAACATTCCTGATTGGTGCGCAGCAGAACGAGTCGGCGTGCTCTGAGCTTGAAGCCACGTCCTGTTCACTTTTCACCCCCAAAATGGACTTTGCAGAGTTTCTCTGGAGGATCAGATTTCCTCCCTGTCCCAAAAATGAGGCTGTGGACAGAAGTTTTATTTTTTTTTTATATTTTCCCCCTATTTTTTTCCAATTTCTTTATTAATATTATTGATATAATGTTATTATGATGGTTTTTTTGGGACCTAAATAAAAAATTTAATGAAATTTTTGGCTTGGTTGTTTTTGATGGCTGAAATAAAATAAGGAAAAGAAATTGTACTTGGCTTTGAAATATCATTTTGCTTACTATTAAGGAATTTAGCAAAAATATTACATTTTTTAAATCCAAGTTGATCAAGAACAGTATTAAAAAAAACAACCTTAACTTCACATGATGAAACTCAAAAGCTGGTACAAAACATCCCAGTAGAGAAAAAAGACAATTGAAAGCAAATATTAATTTATTAGAATTTTGTCAACCATTCAGTCTGGAATTAAATGTATTCATTTCAATGGTACATGTCATAAATGAGTGTTTTCATCCATGAAACTACAAGTCGACTCACAACACAGAAGTTAAACACAGGATGAGTGAAAGCAAACAGAAAACGGTTCAAACAGAAGTTGTGTTTAAAATCAGTAGCAGCACCAACAGGGTGACACTGACATAAAGCAAGGGCTTCAGCCATGTTTTAACATTATATACGACAATGTATTTTAGGTGTGGCTATCTTAGTGTTGCTCAAAAATAACCCATATGATGTATATGGACGTTAGTTTTACCGGATGCACAAATTAATTTCTTTGTATTAAGAGTAAAATTCTAATCTACAGTCGGCCACATACACTTTCTGCTTCTCTTATCTGTGGTTCTCTTTGGATTAACACACAAAACAGAGGTTATGTCACGTTGGCTAATATTTTTGCCATAAATCTTAATCCACAAACCACAACTCACCCAAACAAAACCAACTGATTGTAGTGACCCTTTGTTTTAATCTGTAAACCTGCTCATTGCAGAGGACAGGAGGAGCACATTAAAGGCCATGCATAGCTGGAGTTACTGAGGAGGAGGAGGAGGAGGAAGAGAAGGAGGAAAGACTCGGTTTGGTGCGGTAGCGTTCGCCGGTGCAGACCCATCACGGGACTTGCATCTCCATTCTTGAATAGCAGCTCAGTAGAAGAAATATACTAAATATAGTGAACAGAAAAGAAACACATTGGTAAAATATTTCCAATTTAGAGCAGAATTTTTTTCTTATAAAGAAAACTAACTCATTGTAAAAGAAATGCAAAACATATTCCTCATGCTGTGGATGTGAAAGTGGCATAGTGCTCTAATAAGGATAAAAAAATGGAATATGTACATATTTTTATGCCTTAGTTGTAAATTCTTACATTGCAATCAAAGCATGTCAGTGAAATTTTATGAGACAAGGCAAGACAAAACACTGCATTAGCAGAAGAAAAATTATTATTATATACCAGTCATTTTCACTTAAGTGTATCAGAGTAAAGGGGAATACAAATACACTCCATATTTATTTATTCAAAAATCTTTCAAGCCATATTTTTCTTTTTTCTAAATTATACACAATTTTCTTTGAAAATCCAAATAAAGTACATTGAAGATTAAAGTTGTAAAATGTTTTTCATTAAAACCTTTAACATTTTATGAACAAAAAAAAACATCTGATGGCTCATTTGTGTTCAATATTTATGAAACATTGTTTGAATTTTTTGTTCACATTGTACAGTGATGTGCATTATTATGATACAATAATTGAGTTGAGGTGATTTGTTTCATTGTGTTATACTTACAGAAGACGACGCCGACACATATAACTCCTATAACTGCCATCATGATCATCATCTGGCAACAAGAACAACAACAACACTTTTCAGGCCAAACAGGACTTAATTTTATTTTGGTCTTACAGGAAGTAATAGAAACATAAAACCGAGCATCCCAAAAATATAAACAAACATGACACAAGAAGTTAGGAAGTTTGTATTTGATTAATTTGTCTTTTGTTTTTTCATTGGTCCCTGAAGGTGCACATACACGATTCCAGCAGTAGCAGAATCTGATCTAAATATTTCTGCACTGACTGCATCCAGTGATCACAAAGATTTCTACACTTTTTTTCCACAAATTTATAAATATAAATGTTGCTCAATTTATGAAACAAAAACATTGACAGGAAATAATATCCCCTCTGAGAGGGGGAGGGCTGAAGGAGATTAATAAATACAAGAGCATGGAAAGAGAGATTGGTGTCAACGTGACAGTAGGGGTTGCAATGTGTGTGTAAAAACTTTATAAATAACACAACCTGTTTTGAAAGTAGCAAAATCCACAGCTGAATGAAAACCTTCATGCTGTTATAACCTAACATGTTGTATTTATTGAGAACTCAGTGGAGTTTCTCATGACCGAAGCCGAGTCTGAATGTTGCAGAGGAGGACTTACATCACAGATCACAGCTGGCTCTCTAATCCCAGGCCGTCATTGTAATCCAGATTGAGATTTTCCTTCCTCTCTTTCTGGCTTCCCCGTCAATCAAACAGACTCTCCTCCCACCCCACGAAAATAATCTGCCTTTACTCTGCCATGGATTGGGCCAAATGAACCGCGCAGAATGAGGAGGAGACAGCAGCCGGAAACCAGGTCCAAAATAAGAGTGGATGGATAAATGGAAGGATGGATGAACGGTGTGAACGGATGGTAAAGGGAGAGCAGAAATGGCAGCTGGGAAGTGTTTCTATTTTTATTCAGGGTGATATTTTCAGCTATGTTTTCACACCATCTGAGGAAGATGTTTATATAGAAATCAATGCCTGGTTTATGTTAATGAGGATTATAAAACTGTAGCATGATTTGCGGAACTAATTTGTTTTTGATGAGTAACTTGGTTTAGTTTGTCTACAATCACCACAAATGTAAAAACATGGTGAGGTTATTGACACTGGATATAGGAAAGTAATAAAAAGTTACTTTAAATCTCATTCTTCTGAATCAGAAAACAAAGTATTGGATTTTAATCACATTGTTTATTAATCAAGCTTTGTCTGATTCTGCATTTATGTCAAATTAATTATTTTTGTTTTAACCTACGACATATTACTGTATCACTGCTATGTTAGACATATTCAGATTGTAACAATAAAATACAGATACTTAAAATATGTTTCTCTTGATATCATGGGGTTATGATGAAAAAATGCAGCTGCATTATCTAAAATTTGCTTTTATAACAGTTATTTTAAAATGTTAAAATAAATACCTGACTAGTAAAACAAAATGCTACAGTTGCTGTTTGTTTTCTCCTTTAACTTTATGAAATGACCTTTATGCACCTTCTGCTACAACTGCAGTTAACTAGAGTCGATCAAAATTTCCTTATCCTCAATCTTTAATATTAAGTAATTTAATTTGATGTTTCTTGTTCCCTATAGAAACAAACTTCACAGTCCTAACTACCAGAGCGGTATTTTGTGTGGCAGGAACAGGATGAGGGGAACTCTTCAATCCTTCTCACCTTGCAGTTTTTCCACCAGTACTTGTTCTTGAGCTTGGCGGCGCTGCTCTCGAACTGCGAGGCTCCGGCCTGCAAGGCGTCGGCCCGGTCGTCGAGTTCTGACAGCTTCTGGTCTCTCTCCAGGACTTTGTCCACATTCACACGCATGATGTCCACCACCTGAGGGACAAACACACCTGTTAGAGTCTGTCTCAGTGGTAAAAACTGAGCTCAAATATGTCAGAGAAAAAAAAACAAGCAGATAGAAGTTTTTATATACCAGTTTTCAAATTTAATGATACAGTTGCAATTTTATACTTTTTAAAAATTAAGCTGCAGCTGATGCTATACTTGGGTTCTTGTAATGAGAAAAAACAATACAATAACATCCTTTAAATGTGTGTTTGCTCACCTCGTCCACCTGTGCCTGCGTCTGTTGAAGCCGTCTGTTGCTGGTCAGGTTTGGGGCCGGAGCCGGAGGGCCTCCCTCGCCTTCCGGACCCCCGGGAGCGCCAGGAGTTCCTGCTGCATCTGGAGTTGACCTGCAGTGAAAAGATGAAGATCAGAGATGAGTTATCTTAAACGATCTTTTCAGAAGCAGAGATGTCTTTGGTAAAAACATCACAAAATGAGTAAAGATTAAGCTGGTCTCAACCTCTTACAAACCATGCAGATTATAAAAGCCGCCAGCAGATCAGCTTACATATGCCTCAAATAATAAAGTGTGCATTAAATGGAGCGTATGACTCTTAATGAGTAAAAAATTATGACCACAGAAGAAGACAATCAGGGTACAGATTTATCAAACAAATTTATTAAATCTGTTTCCTTAGAAAACAAAGGTAGTTCACCTTAAACAAGCAGATAAACTATAACTTTATAACTATGGGAAGAAAACAAGCAGGAATTATATAAGTCATGTCTAGGCACAATGTGGGCCTTTTTTCCCTCAGTGGAAAGTGAGTTTGGTGAACACAAAGCATAATAAGATTATTTATATTGCACCACTCATTGAAGATTGTTTTTTTTAAAAAAGAGAAGTTAATATTTCAAACACTTAAAAGAGAAGTCACAAAAAACATAATTACATTGCAAAAAACTAATGTAATTATGAAAATGTATGATGTCAACTCAATGACTGAAATGATTTTTTCCCCCTTTGACGTCACTCAGCTGGGTGAAGGTTGTGCTCAACTTCCTTTTCTTTTTTAGGTGAGATTCCTATTTATTTACACCTCTGGTAACAGTTTTAATTGACCGCGTATACAAAACGTAGTAGTAGTGATTAATTTCATGTCCAAAAATATTATTAAGTGCAAAAATGTACAAACAAGTATGCTCACCCACCACCCAAGCATCATTACACATGCTGCATCAGTAACGGACACAACAGACATGCTACCATCACCATCACCAGCAGTGAAATACAAAGTACAGAATCATGTAAATCATGTAATCACTGAATAATCAGATGGCCCCAATAATGAGTAGTTCAGTAGTTCTCGAAGTTTCAGACAGACATACTGAGCAGAATCACACTAACCAGAGAGGCTGCCATGCTTTAACAGTCAGGCTTGTTTTCCAGGAGCAAAATGGAGAAAGATTAGTGCAGCAGCAGCCTGCCTGCCTGACTGATGGAGATCAACATGCAGGAATTAAAAACCGGCCATCCCCTCCCCAGAGAGAAAAACAACATATTTTCACGGAGTGTTTTTCTGCTCAACAGAAGTCTCATATCATTTATGATCCATTGAATAGACCCAGTGAGTTTTGTCTGGCTCTTTGAGCAGCAGTTTAATTTGTTTTGTTAAAAAGCAGCTGGTGCAAAGTGTACCAGCACACTTGAGCTTTAGATCACAGCTGATGAATAGATTTTTTTAGGTGAGTCAGCTGGTGAGTCACAGTCAGATTCCTGCAGGGTCCAAGAGCTGCACCCCAGAAATTTCCAGATGCTTTCAAACTTAGTTTTACTGGAAACAATAAATAAAACTACAAAACCTAACTTTATAAAGAGGAAAACTGTTTTCTTTTTTCATTATGTATGAATCACATACTAAATTAAATTAATTTAGGTTCCAAAAGCAGAATCTGTATAGTAATATATAACAGGTTTTAAAATAAACAGAAAAATAAAACAGAGTACTCACATCTCAGGACGATGAGGATTATCTGAGACAGGCTGAGGAAGAGTGAGTGAGGATGATGATGATGATGAGATCCTACTGTTTAAAGTAACAGAAGGAGGATGGGTGACTTCTGGTTTCCTTTCTTGTTGAGGACTTAATTCACCTTTTTTTAACCGGACTGAAGAAAGAAAGAAAAACACTATTGCGCAGATGAAAGAAACCAAAATACGTCCGTCATCTAAAAGCCCCGCCCCTAAAAGCGCGCGACACGCACAGTGTCTCTGCCAGAGGCTGGAATACCAGAAAGTAGCAACAAATACAGTTTGTTGGCTTTTATTGCGCATGTGCAGCCCATACACCTGGTCATCACAGCAATTAAGTTAATATGATGTAACTTAATGCTTAATATATCATTTTGTATTTGATTGGTTTCAGTCATATTTTTTTTTTTTATCTTTAGCTAGAAATTGTCATTCTCAAAATACAAATGTAATTGTTCTGACCGCTAGAGGTCGCAAAAACAACCAATCCCTGACAGTGGGAATTTTCTTTATTGGAAAATTAGTAAGTAGTTCAATTGTGACTAAACAACCAGGATATGTAAAAAAAAAAAAAAGGTAAATAGTTTATCATGCAAATAACTTTTAAAGCATTTAACCCAAAAACTGACAGTTAACTCACCATAACTTGAAATATTATGTAATCTAAGCATAATTTTGGATGACAATCAAATAAGTGTTAGCTAAACTAAAAGACTAATTCATTTGACTATTTACCAAAAATATTTAGATTTTAACCCCAGCCCTGCATAGGTAGAACAGAACTGACAATGCATGGATGGATTTTGTTTTTAACAATTGCCTAAAATCTGTGGCTGTGATTGACTAATGCATTAGGTTCTAAAACAGGGATGCCAAACTCCAGTCCTCAAGGGCCAGTTTTGTCCTGCAGTTTTTAGATGTGCCACAGGTACAAAATGAAATGGCTTAATTACCTCCTTCTCCAGAACTTCAGCAGATAAGAACTGATCTAGTTCTTGCTAATGACCTAATTATTCTATTCAGGTGTGGTGCAGCAGAGGGATATCTAGAAGTTGCAGGGCAGTGGCTCTCACGGACTGTAGTTTGACACCTGTGTTCTAAGATAATAAACTGTTACTTATCAAGATACTTTATTTTTCAGAGCCTTCACTTGCAGGGACAGAGATGTCAGGAGGGATCAACCGATCTGAGCCAGTCTTGGATTAAAATGAGTTACTCCACTCCAATGACATAAAAATCTAACATTACATTTTTCTAATCCAGTCATTTAGACTTCAAACAAAATGTAAACATTCTATAACTTCAGACATAACCTCCACATGACAGACATAAAATCCTTCCAGTTATAATTATATTCAAGGTTTGATCATCAGTAATCAGTATTGAAAATTTTGGCTATTTTCTATGAAGTTTGGTGAATTTATCAAGCATCAAAATAAAGTTTAAAAAGGACTAGTATTTAAAGAAAAAACATTTTTGAGGACAATGCCAAGGGTTTGAGAAAGGTCAGAGTTCTAAATGAACATTTAAAAAAAAAAGCAAAAAATATTGTAAAGGAAAGGTTATATTTGGGTAAATTATGTGTGCTCAGCACAATTAACAATTTAACCATCAATGTCCTGAACTGTCAGCTTAAAATTAAAATGCATGCAGGTAAAAGCACTGCATGGTGTGGGCTGAAGTAAACATTTTACACTAAACCCAGGATTTGTAATGTGTTGACACAGCACAGCTGTTTCCTCCATGGCAGCTATTCCTCTCCTGGCTGTTTCAGTGTTTGCTCCTCTTTATTGATCCGAATGAAGTGGTTGGTTTGCAGCTCTTGACCCTCGGCCTTTTGCTCAGCCAAGTAAACTGTGTGAACAGGAACCAATTACAGCTAAATCATTACGGGAGCAGAAAGACTGATCAGGAACTAAATCAGTGCAGCTAGAAAATAAAAGCCTATTAATTCTTGTCCTGCTGCTTAACCCGAGTGCTTGGGCTTAAGATCATAAAGGCTGATAATTCTCTGGTAAAGAGGAGAATTCACGGTTCCTCCAGTAATGGGAAGTTGTCCTGCAACCACAGCATTATTACCACCATGTGAACAAGGATACATCTTTCCAATGCAATTTATTCTGATTAAACACACAGCTCTGCAAATCACAACATAGCCCACAAAAAAAAAAAATCATTCAAACGTTTCACTTCTCAACAATTTACTCACACACATTGAGTTCTATGTTGAGAATCAAACAGCAGATGATCTCATTCAGGTAATCAGTCTTTTTAAAATTTTTCTTGCTAATGATTTGTTTTCTATAACTTGCAGCTGCTTTGTTTTAGTTTCAACAATAAAGAATAGAATATTTTTTGTAAATTTTTTGACTGAAAAAGAATAATGTGTAAAAAAAAAAAGAAGGAAGAAATCGAATGACAGAAGCTACCAAATTGTTGCAAGTGTGTGATACACATATGTGTGACTTTGGAAAAAAACACAATAAAAAAAAAGAACATCTGAGCATTATGGGTATATAATTATTTAAAAAAAAAACTGTAATTCAATGCACCATTTCAGCACAGTAAAGCAAAAAACTATGCTTCTAGAATCTATTTGCACTAAAATAACTTATTTGTACATCATTTTGATCCCACATTTGCTTTTGGGATCAGAGTAAATCAAAACATGGTTTCTGGAAATACACAAAAAAGTAAATCTGCATTGAAAATCACCAACATTTACATCATAGGACACAAAGCTTGCAGCATTAATAGGTCAGCATCATACACACTGATCAATTACAATATTACAGTTCTTCACAAAAATGGGCAATTAGAGGTCAGACCCATACCTCAAAGCAAAGTAAGTGGTCTGGTATTTGAAATCAACAGATGATTCATTCACTCCTAAACTTGGTTGAAACTCTCAATAAGGAGGCAAGCAATTTCCAACTTAAACCATCGCCTCACGTTTAGCGAAAAAACCTGCTTTTAAAAACACATTTTCCAAAGGTGACTTTTTTTTTTTAAATTAACTTAATGTAACAAATTAGCATTACAAACCATCAAGTTATATCCCATTGCTTTTCAAGTATAAACACTTGGGGTTAGACAACTGAATAAAAATATATCAAATTAAAAATAGAAACTCAATATAATAATGTCATTGCAGAACATGGTCTAATTTTTTGTAAGAAATGTGTGATTAAATAGCAAATTATACCTAATTTGAAAAGATTTTCTTTTCATTAACATGAAAAATTATTTTTTTTGTTTGTTTTTCTTTTTTGCATTTGGATTTTTTTTTCTTTAATTTCAATAAATAAATTAATGATTTCTTAAGATGTATAGGTTCAGCCAAAACAATTTGACCAAAATCATTTTATATGACATCCCTGCAAAAAATGCTGAGAGTCAAACCTGCAATGAGTGGTTTGGGACAGCACAACATAAATAGTCCTTTATAATCCCAGATGTACCCAAATGTAACCTAATTCAATTTGCTCAGAGTAAATTCAGTCTCAAAGCAAAGTTTGGTTGAAAAACATCCAGATATTTAGTTTTGATCAAGGCTGTACATATACATAAAACTAACCCTTAAGCTTTTAATTCACTGCATCTTTACAACTTTATTAATATCACCATAATCTTTCATTGATTATGAAAAAAGTGCAATTTGTGTTTTTAACTGCATTTACTGCTTTATAGAAATTTCCAGAAATCCCACATGGAGAGGTATATCATTTTAAATTTCTTTATTTAACCCTTTATTAAACCCTATTGAGATCCATCTTGAGACGGATCTGGGCAGAAATGTGCAATAATAAACTACTTTAACCCAAAATAAATATAAAAAGAATTTTTGTTTTTCATATTTAAGTGACATGTGCAAACTACAATCTTCTGTGGCTTATTGCCCTTCTGTTTAATGACACTAAGAAGCTTTTTTTACAGACAGTGCAAATAACAGGCTCCCACACTAAATAATCATATTATTGTGCAAAATAATGCGCATTCCTAACATCTTACAGATTCACCTTCTTTGTCACTTTGAAGTGCAGCATTTTTAAATGTAATTAGAGTAAGTCACCACATGAGGGCAGAAGTTTACAGATCAGTGGATGGCTTTTTTCTCTCCCTGACACTGAACATGATTCAATGTCGCTTCTGAAAGACTGAAAAGGAAATTTTCTTTTTGCTTTAGACAGAAAACAGAACTGTCTGCTTTTGTCTTCCTTTTTCTGGCTACAAGGTTAAAAGAACCCATTGTTAGTAGGCTGTTTTTAGACATTCCAAATAAATTGAGTTACTTTTACAACTTTAGAAATATTCACAAAAATCTTAAGATGTGGGCAAAGTGTGCGTTTTCTTTAATTCAGTTGTCCTAAAACACTAGAAGAAATAGCAGAATGGGATTGAGTGTCAGGGTTTTCTCCAGTTCATAGGTGGGATACCAGCATTTATGTTGCAAAAGGGATTGCTGCTCTCAGAGTTAGCAGATAGAGTCGGATTGTTCTTCTTCTCCTCCTTTTCAGAGTCATCAGCTGTTGGTATGATGACCGAGGTGGATCTTCTATGATAAAACACAAAGGGACAAGCTTTATGTTAAACATGCTGGAAACCACTGCAGCTTGTAGATACAACTGGTGCTCCGTTCCAGTCACCTCGGACGTCAGATCCGAGGTGACGGCGTTTCAGTTAAACATCGTTTGCAGTACCTCTTTTTATTATCATTTATGCTTCTTTCTACAAGCATTTAATTTGAATTCAGTTTTATTTTAAGTTTGTATTTGAAATTATTCAATCTGTCAAACTTGCCCTTCAAAATGGATTGGCAACACTGATCTACTGAACTCCACTAATTTTGTCCCATTTTTAGAAAATGTTGACTTTCACAGCACATTTGAATTCATATAAAAATGAACTCAAATGAAAGTAACCTTATCAAATTAATAGCAATTTTGTTACGTCCCAACATAACAAAAGAAAGGCTGATCTCTTGCGGTCTACCTGTCTCCGCTCTGTGTGATGAGTCTCCTGCAGGTCTCCATCTGGACGTCCAGCCCTCTCTTCATGGAGCACATCTCCATGTACTCGTGCAGGTGTCGGTTCATGTCACTCTTAGCTGTGGCCAGTTCCAGCTGCGAAGGACCGCAAACATGTTAAAAATCACAGACCAGAAGCTTTGTAGACCACAGAAGTAGAAGCACCAAGACGCCTCACCTC